CTCCTCCTCCTCCTTCTCCTCCTCCTCCTCCTCCTCCTAGATCCTCTTTTCTGCGTTAGGCAAACATCAGCGACGAGGCTGTCGCGTTCCTCTACAACTCGAACTCCGATATGAACCCACGCAACACAAATCCCATGAGGACGAGTGCGAGACGATAAGAGCATGATCTGCGGCAGCAGTGCTGAGAGAACGTGGAACAGACGAGAGAAGCTCGATAAATAGAGCGGAGATCAAGAGTAAGCACAGTGTCAAGGACCTGACCCACCTCCCCGCATCGAAATCTCCACCCACCGTAATATACAAGGACCCTCATCGATGGTTAGCTCCAGAGCTGATACCATGTTATGCTTGAAGCGGTGCTGTGCGAAACGAAGAAGAGCTGACGCGCGTCCACCAAGCTCCCGACGATCCTATCGAAGCAACCCTGATATTGAAACCCTCACCGAGGGAAAGCGCACAGTGCAGGCGCGGCAGCACGCACATACCCACTATCCCTCCCATGCCAAGGGCCCTCACCGAGGGCAGTTCGTGCCCTCCCCGAAGGCAGCTGGTAAGCAATCAAACTGCTGGCATCCATCTTACTGAAATAACTGATGTGAAAGATCCCTCGTCAGCCCGACTGCCTTCGTCGAGGGCCGCGGTGGTCATCACGATCGCAAGGATCGACACGCTCGATATGTTAGTGTCCACCCTGGGACGGCCAGCGCTAGAGATGCAACTTGAATGCGGGCCCTGGCAGTCAGCAGAAGCTGCAATCATCTGCCTTCGCGGGGGCTCTTGCTGCTAACACCTCCGCTTCCAACGTATCTTCTCTCCTCTAATCTCCTCCTCCTTCTCATCCTCCTCGTCACCTCTGCTTAGTGGCTGGATAGTGCGACCTGATGCGCAGGCTGTTGTGATGACGGCTCTGGCTGCTGGCGGCAATTTACACGATTGGTGGATGAACAGTGCCCTTTTTGACATCTCCCTTCTGAATCCCCGTTCCCCTCCATGACAAGGGCCCTCACCGCGGGCAGTTCGTGCACTGACCGATGGCAGATGGTAAATCATCTGGTTGTTGGCACTCTTTCTACTGAAACTGTTGCTGGCCTGGAGCTCTAGTTGTTCGTGCTGCCAAGAGCGACTGATGTGAAACTACACCACCACCACCACCACCACCACCACCACCACCACCACCACCACCACCACCACCATCTCCAAATAGATCCCTCCCTCGCCTCCACATCGATCAAGCAATCAGCGGTGATGTGCAAAGGCAAGGTTTCGTGACAAGGTCGTGCCCTCCTGCTGTCCGTGCGCGGAAGGCAGGCGCGTATGCGAAGGACAGGTTTCGTGACAGTTCCGTGCCCTCCTGCGTTCCGTGCGCCGAGGGAAGGCGCGATTGCAAAGGAAAGGTCTCGCGACAGTGTCGCGCCCTCTCCGCTGTCCGTGGCGCGGAGAGCGAAGCCTCATTATTGCTCCAGTGCACACGCAAGGGGGCGTCCCCGCCGACCCGCAAAATGCGGCCGGGTAGGAGAGGGAGGAGGAGGAGGAGGAGGAGGAGGAGGAGGAGGAGGAGGAGGAGGAGGGCGAGTGGCGCCCTAGCGTTAAGTCGGGCATGTCCCTCTACATGGGGAACATGAACAAAAATATGTGTCACAAAAAAGCTCGGGAACGTTTTTTTACTATGCTGGATACTTGTTGTTGAAATATGTTTGGAGTATTTCTGGATTGTCGCCCGAAATCCGCCTGTAGGGGGACAGGCCCGACCTAACGCTACCGTCATACCAAGGTCCTTTCGCGCTGTGAAAAAGTCACGACGGGATTTTGTTCACTATATTTTCGGCCTCCGGGGCCCTTACCTGTCCGCGGGGCAGTGGATGAGAAACCGGTCCCGGGGAAGGGGTCCAGACCTTTGGGGGTCGACGCTCTGAAAGATCACGAGGCCGGGGATTGGGTTCTGCCCTCCCCTTCTTTCTCCTCCTCCTCCTCCTCCTCCTCCTCCTCCTCCCCCTCCTCCTCCTCCTCCTCCTCCTCCTCCTCCTCCTCCTTCCTTCTCCTCTCCTCCTCCTCCTCCTCCTCCTCCTCCTCCTCCTCCTCCTCCTCCTCCCCCTCCTCCTCCTCCTCCTCCTCCTCCTCCTTCCCCCGTAGCCATTTTGGCTCAAGCCATTTTGGCTCAAGGCCATTTCGGGAACTCACCCCCCCGACTCAAGTGGCCAGCGCCCGCCGCGCGCGCGCACGAGGACACAGACGCTCGCCCGAGCAGTCCTCGTGCTTCTCTGTTTTTCCATTCTCCCATAGCATTCTATTACGCGTATCCCTCCCGTCACTCCTCCCCCCCCTGCTGCGATGGCCAAGTCTGACGCTCGTGGCAGCTCGGATGACAGCCGTGAGCAGAGGCGACACAAGAAGGAGAAGAAGGAAAAGAAACATAGTCGGTCACGTTCGGACGATCGGGCTCGTGGTCGCCACAGCCGCCGCCACGCCGACTCCGAGGATGAAGCCCCTACTGCGGCTCCTGCATGGCTGGCAGATCTGGTTAAGGGCATCGAGACCACCAATTTCAGAATCTCAGAGCTGGATGGCACGCTGAAGCATGAACTCACCGAGGTGAACAACAAGCTGGAGGCGCATGGACACGCAATCGACGTGCTGGCGAACCGCACCTTGAAGCTTGAGCAGCAGGCCCAGGGCTCACTTGATCGGGCCATGGCAGCTGCCGTCGATGAGAAAGTGAAGGAGCAGATTGCTAACTTAGACTCTGCCATTACGGAGCTGAAAAACTCACGGCCATCGCCGAGATCGACTACTGGCAGCGCTTCTTCCAGTGCCCCACTCTCTTCTGCTTCTGGTCCACAGTCGAGAACTGTGAAGACACGGAGGTGGATTGGTACTTTCCCACGTTCGCTCACCTGTGCTCAAAGACAGCAGCACTGGGACTCGGTGGTCTTCCCCAGGCTGACGCAGGAGCTCAAAGACGACGCGAAGATCACGATCTCGCGGGTCGGCAAGAGTTACTCGGTCGACTTCAGTGAGGAGACCATGGCGGAGAACTTCAGCACCCTCATCAGTGGAATGGACATCTCCTGGCGTGACCCTCGGTCCCAGCAGCTACATGAGATTCGGGCACGTGGAGATCTGCCAATGGACGTACGGGCTCGTCAGCGGGCCGCATCGCTGGTATGGCAAGGTACTCTTGAACTGCTACGAGGTGGAGGTCATGACATGGCTGGATATCGTCTTGGAACAAATGGATTCCAAGGATTGGTACACTTCAGTTCAGCAGAAGAAGTATATGAGCTCTTTTGGATCCGTGGATGTCCGCAGTCTGGCTACACATACGACCCTGTGATCGACAACTTCAAGCACTGGAATGTGGACCCGGATGCTGTACACCACATGCTAGAACGCATCAGAAAGTCCAAGCACTAGGAAGTTCGGCTACGGGAACATGGCTCATCTTGTGAGGTCAGGCTGGGGCCTGACTGCCGGCCTGAGGGGAGAGGTGCATCTGCTCCGCACCTCTCAGCTGGCCCGCGGGTGCAAGAACAGTGCCCTACGCGTAGGGCCGAGCGTTCCAGTTTTTCCGTTTGTAAGAATTCACGCATTGAATCGTTGAATGCTAGTGCTTCGAACACCACCAGAGGCCCAGGCCCAGGAGCTGTACAGGGATCTCCCCCCTCTCCTCCCTCCTCTTCCTCGTCTTCGTCGTCGTCCTCATCCAGTGGCTATCCTGAGGTTCCGTTCCAGGCGTCTACTTGTCCGTATTCGGCGTGTACCTGGAACTCCCATACGCTATGTGGAAGCATATGGGCCTCACATGCTACTCAGTGTCGTAAGCTATCGTCTTTGAAGTATCTACTACGCCGTCATGAGATTATACTGATTCAAGAGTGCCACGGTTCTGAGGGTGATCTTTGGGAACTTCGAAAGCGATTTCCGTCCTTTAAAATCTTCGGCTCTTTCCTGGACTCTGAGGCTGCTGGTGGTGTGCTCATTTTTATCCATGAACGGCTTGCTCAGCACTTCTCTACTTTCTCTACATCTGCCCCGATCCCTGGTCGAGTACTTACTGTTCGGTGTGCTGGGCAGTCTGGCACGCTTGTACTCACCTCTGTCCATCTCGACCCCTGCCGGTCACAGTCTAACTTTAAGGAGGCTATTCGTATTCTGGGTACTTCGCGTCCAAACTATTCAGAGGCCACTTGGATACTGGGAGGTGACTTCAACTTTCTTGAGGAGGGGGAGGGCCGTCTGAGGGTTCGCGATGGTCATGTACAGCTCACGGCGGGTCATCTAGCTAGGTACTTCCACTCCCAGTGCCCGAACTTAGCTGAGATTCAACAAGTGGAGATGACTCACAAGACCGTCCAGGATGATGC